AAATATCTGCTGAATAAAAGAATCATTTTGTTTCTAATACTCTCCAAAATTGTACTTGCCCACTTTTATTTCTCATTCACTCATTCAGGAATGAGTGAATACAATTCCAGTGAAATACCTGGAGCTGTGTGCTAAGTAGTAAAGATGTGTCCCTAGCACCAAGGGCAGCTAAGAAGGGGTGTGAACAGACCTTATTCCTAACATTATGGCAGTTAACTGCAACAATAGAAAACAAATAAGAGTCTTCCTTAATAAATACTATGGGGGGAAAGTACACACAGTTATGATAGTTTTTGTGAAGATGTGACTAGGGTTCTGTGAAAGTTTACAAGGGACATCAGACTTTCTTAGACCAGAGAATCCATCCATTCACTTCTCTCTTTCCTTACACATAACCTTCTTCCAATGTCTCTGTTCCTATTCTAATAGTAAAAGTAACTTACTACAGGAATTTGAAGCATATAATGCAACCAAATACTTATCCTACTTGCTCCTGAAAACAACTCCACAAGTTAGAGCAGGAATCATTATTCCCATGTTAGAGATTAGAAAAATGGAGACTCAAAGAACTTAAATATGAGCTATTCAAGCCTACAGATTCAATACAAGAGGATTTTTTTTAACTGCTTATTTACTGTTTGACTCTTCCCTCTTACCAACCCAATGCTAATAAGTCTGTAAACCCTAAGATGGAATAGACTTCTGTTTTCACTCATTTGTCCTCAGGGTCTAGAATATAACAGGGTCTAGAACAGTTTATTATTCATGGATGGATTTTCAAATAAAGTAACCAACAATAAAAAACACAAGGGAAAAAGTTCTTTCCTATTATGACAGCATAATAAAAGAGATTTAAAACAGAATTCTACTAGTTAGAAAGGCTAGACTAATTATATTGACTCAATTCAACTGGCATGTTATGCATTTTACCTAAGAATTTAAATTTAAGTAAGGGAGTTGAAGTAGGTTTCTATTTATGGTGTCATATTCATGGCATGTACTGACATAAATCCAAGACTTAACTACAGGTTTGAAACTGATTAAAAGTTTTATTAGGGCTGGGGGTGTACCTAAGTGATAGAATGCTTGTCTACTATGCTTAAGGCCCTGGGTTCAAACCCCAGCACCATTAAAAAAAGTGGGGGGTGGGGGGCCTGGGGTTGTGGCTCAGTGGTAGAGAGCTTGCCTAGCATGTGTGAGACCCTGGGTTTGATTCTCAGCACCACATATAAATAAATAAAATAAAAGTCCATTGACAACTAAAACAATTTTTTTTTTAAAAGCTGGTTATAAACTGGGTGTGGTGGCGTACCCCTGTAATCCCAGCAGCTCTGGAGGCTGAAACAGCAGGAGCGCAGTCCAAAGTCAGTCTTAGCAAATTAGTGAAGCCCTAAGCAATTTATTTTATTTTTTAAAGAAAGAGAGAGAGAGAGAGAGAGAGAGAATTTTAATATTTATTTTTTAGTTATCGGCGGACACAACATCTTTGTTTGTATGTGGTGCTAAGGATCGAACCCGGGCTGCACGCATGCCAGGTGAGCGCGCTACCGCTTGAGCCACATCCCCAGCCCAAAACAATATTTTTTAAAAATTAACAAAAAATTTCTTGAGACTCCCTATGCATTTGAGTTTTGTCTTCAATGTTAATTTCAAAAGCTGCTATACCTATATTTTCTACATACTTAAAACTTTTAATCACCTTCCAATAAAAAGTTTAAATCACAACTGAGTAACTACCCTTCTGCCCTCAGGGCTGTCCATAAAATTGTTATTCTACCTAGACACAAATCATACTGTAAGATAAATTAATGGCACCAATGATCAATTATGACCTACAGAAAGACATCATTTATCGTTCTATGAATTCCACTTCCTTACGATTCAGTTTGCTCTAACTGCAAAACACCCTCATTATTTTTCTCCAGTATTCAGATTTCAATAAATTAAAGCCACTTATGGTAGTAACATTAGTAGCTGTAATAATGTAAGATAATGGAAAGAGTACTAGTATTAGATTTGGAGTAAGATTTACTCAGCTATTTCCCATCTGGATTAACTGTATGACCTTGGGAAAGTCACTCAACATTTTAGAAGCCAGATTTTATCAGTTGTAAAATGTGAGAACTACACCTCATAGAACTGTATTGAGAATTAAGTTGTTTTTATAAAAAAATAACATTGGGGTGCTCACTTGGCAGCACATATACTAAAATTGGAATGATACAGAGAAGATTAGCATGGCCCCTGTGCAAAGATGACAAGCAAATTCATGAAGCATTCCATATTTTTTTTTGTATTGGTATTACCAGTAGCTGTACAACTAGAATTGCTAGATAAAATACACGAAGCCCCATTAAATTTGAATTTCAGATAATTATTTTTCTTTACTATAATATGTCCTGACTAAGGTATACATACTTATATGTATATAATTATGTATTGTTCTTTGAAATTCAAATATAACTGTATGCTCTGTATTTTAGTAAATACTGAATCAACTATATATATATATATATATATATATATATATATATATATATATATA